GTAACTCACATGCTTGAATATGATTCGAAAAATATGTAAACAGCAGACGAGAATCACGGCAGATAAGACGATAAGACGTACGTTGATCCTTCGGCACAACCAAGTTACAACTGCGACTTGAAGCAATTGAATGAATTTGTGCTTTCCATTGATGAAACTCGTTTCTAAACAGCAGGACCAGAGATAGAAGAAATAAGCAGCATGCCTAAGAAAGCATCATCTCTGGAACCAATTCATACCATCTGGTAGAATCTTTTCTCTGCAGATTCTTCTATCACGTAGTACTGGGTCACAGTGTCACATATCCCCGGACGGCTGATGGAAAGCCCGCGGAAGTTAAGGGCAAAGCGAGGATGGGGGAAGGAGTGAGATGTATCTGGAAGACTCCCCGTTACCAAACTTGACACTTGTTAGGGCGAAGGAAGGGGCTCTTGCTTGTTCCTGCCGGATAGTTGGCTTCACTGTTATCTCTAAGCAGCGCATACAGCGATCACCAGGCATTATTGGGCAAAAAATCACAGCTTTCAAATGGACTCACTATGACCTTGAATGGAAACAAGAAACGCCACTGCGGCATCTTATAGCTGAAGCAAGGACGTGTTCCATTAGGGTTGGACGGCCTAACCTGAAGTCCTTCTTCATTTGCTCAGGGTTTGAAAGTCACGAATCCATAATCCTATGGTCATGCTTTTTGGAGGGGTATCTGAACAGAATCAGCGTACTGTAGTCGAGTGACCCAATGGAGACTAGGGCGTAATATGTGAACTTTGCCAGCCTGTCATTCCAATACTATTGGAGAAACTCGTGTAATGAGAAAATTGTCGCGCTGATTCTATAAACACGTTAAATCACTACGTGCAGATCCGCTGTACTGATGAAGCCTTGCTGACCATATAGAAGCTAATCGTGAAACATTTACTGGAAATTGAAATGCTCAAAAATTGCAGTTCCAGTAAGACACCAATTGGAATCAAATCTGTAGTGAAAAATCAATCACGACCTAGGAATATTATTTTTCCCTACTTCTTCACTATCATTACCGGCTGGCCGGCTCATCACCCAATGGATACGAGCGCCTGACTCAAGGGGATAAAGTTGAAGCTTTGGGAGCATACTTTTCGAAGCTGGAAAAGTTTCGATGATCCACAAATTGACGGCAGCGCAGGCAACCATGTCTGCAGCTTTTGCAGGCCGCTGGGACATTGTGGCAACTATGTATGCCGCGCTCATCACAATCGTTTCTTGTGCAAGCCCAATGTTTTCTTTATCAAATTTTCTTGCTCTTTCTTCATATATACATTAACGTAATTGTAAACGACGTGGCTAACGGGTGCTTAAATTTGGTGTTTGGCAGAGGTTTTCCAAACTTACGAAGATTTCAGTTCAGTTCATTTCGCATTTTTCTTTCCATGATATTAGGCAATGAATAGTACTAGAACTAAATACAAACCCATCCAAATTAAGACATATTCATTGCCGAAACAAGTACGTACAAAGCAATTTCGAAATTACCAGAGCTAAGGCCTTTTTGTCATCACAGCACGTCCTTGTAGTCGAAATTCTTCTGTTTTACCTCCAAAGGACCTTACCACATTTACCGTCGTTGAGTTCTTTTGTACCATTCAGGTCTAGTGCATTTACCAGTCAAGTGGTTAACGTGAAGTGAGCCTCGCGCTCGCCAAATCGCGCCTGTCCCGTACTGTCAAGAAAGCCAAAATGTGCTGAATGGAGCTCTGTGCTTGCAAAACGCGAGTGTGAGCTTCCAGGTCCCCTCCGAAGCCAGATATTTCGCTTGAAAGTCAACATTGTGATCGCGAACATGACGAGAAAAATCAGTTAGCGAAAAAATTCAAAATAAATATTAATTTGAAAAGGTTGGTTGAACTCTGATCGCAAAGTTAGGGTAAGAACTCACTTCGGTATTGGGAGCTTTGGGTCATCAGGCAAATTCAAAGAGCGTGTAGACCATATGCTTGAAATGAAATCTTGATCGAAAGTGGATACGAGATGGAACGTGCATGTTTCCGCCGGCGAGATAATCATCTTTGGGCCACCTCTAGAACGCACCCATCACGACGAATTCACTTCCATGTATAGCTAGTGTCTTGTTACCTAATGACCATTAAGTACATGGGTTGAAGGAATCGTGAGCCAAACCTCGTTGGATTCCTTCCCCGCATGAATGCATCCTGGATGACCTCTACATAACTGCAACGTACAAAATCCCATAAATGGAGAATTCAGCTTCTGAGAAGAAACGGACCTTCGAAAACCATACCTAGTGGACGGTTCACTGGCCCCTGAGCGTGATCAAGAAATCGCATGGGTTTACGTACATATGTGGTGGGGCGGCCACGATATTGACGCATTTTAAGATAAAACTGAATTGAATGTCGAATTCGGAGAGTACTACAGGCAGAACCTTTCAGAGCGACACATCATAATGTAATAGATAGTAAAAGGTTCCTGCCATGTTGACTACAGTCGAAAAGATTTTCAAGTGACTCAAGAATATAAGTGGATCCTCCTTACCAACACGTGACGAATCTACGATGGGAATTCGGAAAAGTGATAGCTTTTTTGGTCTTTTTTGGATTACATATTCACAAGAACGACTCTTTTCCTTCTCGTCATGAAGGGTGGTTCCTAATCCATCGATTTAATGAAAAGGTGAAGCCATAGGATTCCCGTGCACGATTTCTTTGGGTGCGTTTTTATCCTTCAAACTAGCACATGACATTTCAGCTAGGCCTTTCGATTTATCCATCTTTATCACTGAGAACGTTTCAGCTGCGAATCAATCCCATTCATCCCGCATAATTTATTCTTTGCTTTAATAGACGATTTTGAGGAATTGTCTGCGTAAATGGCGCCTCCGATTCTCACCCCTTTTGAGCAAGGTCGTCAGACAGCTGCTCATAGACAGTTACAACTGCGCAATTAAGCCAATTTCGCAACCAGAATGACAAAATGTGCTCCCATCGTTTGTGATGATCTGTCCGAATAGGGAAGTCGCATCTCTATCAATGGGCAACGATAATGTAACAGGAACGAAGACAAAAAGGAAAGCGATGAAAGTCAAGCTGACAGCGAATATGCAGAAATGAGCATTGACTGTGTAGGTTTAAGCGCGTTCTTTTGGTTTTTTATTAGTTCTGGAGGGCTAGTTTGCACCCTTCCCAATTTCGGCTCTCGATAAGCCGCACAGATGCTGCATACGTATTGTGGGCGCCTGACCCACAAAATGGCTTCTTGCTTACCCAGCGACTTTTCTTTTTTTGCTCAGACGCGCTTTCCGGTGATCTAGCAAATCTTCCCAACACGTGCTCGAATTCACTCGAACTGCTCAGCAAAAATCGCTTGTTCTAGCTGAAATCTTAATCTGGAATGCACCTAAGATGTGCTAACAATAAACATAAAAAGCTGTGTATGAATTTGAATGTGATTCTTAAAAAATAAGAATGAATAACCGTAAATACCACAAGCATAATCAACGTCGTACGAGCACAAACAACTTTCTTAAATTAGCGGCAAACAACAAAAACGGTGATTTTTTGGTGCGAAAAAGAAAAGTGTGTTGCTCTTGCTTCACATCCATCATCGACTATCAACAAATCTTCATTTACAATTTTTCGCATGATGTTAAACCTTTGTAAAACATTGATTGAGATTGATGAAATAGGGTAGTGAGTGTCCAGGCGCATTCGATTCTCGCCATGCAGTTGTTGTTTTTGTTCTCTTCTGGCAACGTCTGTGGCGCGCGCCAACAACCAGCCAAACGAGTAGAAAGACTGGCGATCGCATTGGCTGCGGAATTCGCGGTAAACTAAGCAATGAGGATCCACTATCAGTCTCAGAACAATCCATGTATGATAATTTACAAGCTCAAATCACTGGTTCACTGGTAAAACTGAACTCTCTATGGAATCGTTTTGCTTTCTTTTCCTTCTTTTTTCATCCAACATTCCACCGTAATTCGACCTCAATGAGCGCCATAGTCCAACTTACGTCAATCTAATCAAATCCAACTGGAAACAGTCTATCAGAATTCTTGTAAAGTAAAGAAAGATCAAGGTTTTCAACGAATTAGGAACATAATTTTCTTCATAATTTTCTTGGAGGTGTTTCCTTACCCTGTTCTTGTGATTATCCATTAGTAGATGTAATACTGATCTTATAACTATTCCAATCGATAATCGATGATTGGAAAATTCAGAGGCACATGCAAACATAACAAAAGGATAACCCAACACAATGCTTACAAGTCGTTCCCAAGTGAGTAAAGCACTGTTTTGCCACGAAGGGCAACACGTTCCCATGTGAGGATGTGGCATAGGAAAATTCCATCAGATTTTAAATTTCTGTCAAATGCTTACCATTAGTTCGAGAAATCTTTCTTCAAGTGAGCTTCTTGGTCTATTCAGGAAATTGCATTGTCTATTACTGCGATGGTTCGAACAATCTTTTTTGAAATAGGTTTTTGATCATCATTTGCTTTTTTCGGGAATATTACTGCAACAGTGGATGAGTAGATTGGAATAACAATAGTGGAATTGAAGTCGTGACCAGTGCCAATTCTGAGTCCTGTTTTAGGTCGCGTTCACACAATGTGAGTGAAGTAAAACAAATTTTGAGCTTTTTCTCGATACAACACAAGGCAGGAACGGCTGGTGTTAATGTGGTATGTCCTGCAGCTATAAAAACTTTTCAAAAACCGCTTTTGAAACCTCATCGACTACCAAACGCCTGTCTTGATAAGCGCTTCCCATTATTGCTAGGTCCCAATAGCTGGAAAAAACTGAGCACAGTACAACAACGGTTCCCTAATTCATATTACTGTACCTTTTTTACCCAGTCTCAACAACAAACAAGATCCATGATTAGTGTGCCTGAGAAATAGTGATCAATTTATTCATTTTGAATTACATAAATGCTCTTTGTACAACATGCAGAATAGATCAAAATAAATTAGAAAGCCTTAGAATAGGAACAGTGGGTTCTTAATCCATAGGATAACACTTGTATTCGTCCGAAACACACAGATGACCATCCGGGCATTTATCGTTTACACATGGACCAATCGGGTCGGCGCCTTCACGTGCTTTTGCTGAAATTCACATTAAAGTAAAAGATGGTAAAAAAGTTGTGAGGAAGTACTATTTGAGAGGATGCATAGGCCTATAAAAAGTTACAAGGTCAAACGGTCATCGTTAGGAGCCCGTTTTGGGGTGCAATACGCATTCAGATTACACTCAGTCTCGAATGGGATGTGGCCCATGCAGTGTGTTCATGGGTTAGTCGACGTAGTATCGTGCTTCATGGGTAGTCGACGTGTTATCAACGAATGTGTTCTCCTCCCAGAGAGGCGTGGCTAATCATCCATTTTGACCTATGGAGGGTGGTCAGGCAGTTGATTGGCTTTCGGTGGCGAGGTTTTGCATAGCATATTTTTTCCCGCACATAGCTAGGTTCCAGGGTGTCAATTTGCCAACTACAGCAGTTTCTAGCTTCAACATTCATTTTGACAGGATCGCCATATTGAAGCAACCACAAGACTACATCCAAAAGGGGCCGGCCGCAGCCGGGAAAAATCAAGATGATTCCTACAAGGGAGGTCTTTCAGGGCAAGGTGCGCTTTTTGGAAACGGTTTAGTACATGTTGTAGGGACGCATGTATGGACCACAAAACCATGTTTCGTTTTCGCTGAACGGTTTTAGTAGTACCAAAAAAGTGGTGAATAATACTCTTGATGGTTCAATCCCCCGCGGCGACTAAATTTTGCAATCAAGGTTGGCGGCCACTTGTTGGCTTCAAAATGGTCCTGACGATGAATTTGACATCTGATTTTGATATTTAGCGCGATTTGGCACCAAACCGTAGGCGCCAACCCAAATGCAAAATTTAGTCGCCACGGGGGATCGAACCCTTAACAGTACCTTATGCTTCTTTTTTGGTACTGCTATAACCGTTCAGCGAAAATGAAACATGGTTTTGCGTTCCCTACATGCGTCCCTACAATATGCACAAAACCGTTTTGAAAAAGCGCACCTTGCCCTGAAAGACCTCCCTTGTTAGGGATGGGCAGAATGTAATAACGAATCGGCCAGAACAAGAATCGCGAATTCAAAGGGAAAAACTGCTTCATACGGCCTCAGTGGTATATGAATTCCACAACCCATCTGATCGTTATATAGGATTGTCTCGGAATATCCCACTTGCCACCATACCTTTATTGGGTCACTGTTTATTCACTTAATCTTCATAGAATTACTGAATGCAACTCACGTATTGGCCGAATGCAGACGTTGTCGTTGCACTGATACGTCTTTGGGCAAAGATTGTTGACACACGGTCCAAGTTCTTCGACTGAAAAGTTGAACAGTTAAGACGCCCCACATCCACTTAGAAATCGTCACTAAAATTATTTCTTGTTCACCCAAAGATCACCGGCTCGAGACTAGGGTCAACCCTACCGTTGGGACTTTTTGAAATTTTTTTACGACCCTCCTATCATGATGAGATTCATCGAGCTTTCTTCGCAACTTCTTTTTCCCTCAAAACATACCATCAAGGTGGGGGTGGGGGCATATATACGCTAAAACGGCAAATTTTCTTTCGCGCGCTTTCGCCTCATTACATGTAAAAAAAACCAAGTACGACCCACCCCCACCACCCACAAAATAACAACACTACGGACGCCCTCTGTCCTCCACTCCCCCCCCCCAGTTTTGTACTTGGCCCAACGTAAGGTTGACATGCTCGAGACCGATCATTCCACGGTAAAGAAAAAGACAAAAACGTCGTTCGTGCCATCGTGAACGATTGTCGAAAAAAACTCGACGCCCATGGTTACGCGTTCGAATTGCCCGCCCAATAGCTGTCCAAATAATGGCGATTGACCATTGGTCACTTAGCTCTCGGATGCTTTCCTAGCGATCTCTGGGTAAGCCTTTTCCATTTTTCTATCTAGGGCATATAAGATTTCTCGTCTCTACTGCATCCCATTCTATCGATCGTTTTGTCTCTATTCTATGAATTCAAATTCTATAACCCGATTCGTTCAATGCGTCGCCTGATACGCGGTCTCCCCAAGGCGCGGTCCCCAAGGCGCACTTCTTTCCAAGTGTTACCCTTGTTCACCTTCCGAGCCTACCCTCGCCGTCCATAGAGGGTGTTTAGTTTAAGTTGTTTCTCTGCAGGGAACTGAACTTGTGCTGGTGAACTGTTGTACGTGTGTATAGAGAGCACAGCATGACATAATTCCTATTGAAAAGAATAAAGATGTCGCGGGACGGATTCTTCATTCTTAAACTCTTTTCCTTCTCTTATAGTGCTGACTACCCAATGCAGGGTACGGAAAGTCTTATATCTTTGGTGCTTTTACATTTATCACTTTACGAATTCTGCGATTGAAGCTCACAAAAATAGCTGAGGTGCGGAATCAGTCAAAACGCATTAGCTTTATCTAACTTGCTTGATTGCTGGTTGTTAAATTGGCTGATTTTGACCGCATTGTCACAGAGCAAGTGTTGGCCGCAGAATCGCATGGGTGTGTGATGTAGGACATCCGGAGGTATAACGAATTCGCGGGGTAAGACTGAGTTGTGGGTGGTTGCAGGTGAGAAGTTGGTCAATGGAGATAGAAAAAGTAGAAAAAAACGTCGGGCAGGGGCTTAGACAGGGACTCCCCCGGCCGTTTAGGGAGATGTGTGTTGGACGAGTTGTCCGAACCTGCCCGTAGTACATGCGCTCCAGTTGACTGCTGGCAAATAGCCATGCATGCTTGCAAATACATAACTATTTGCCAGCAATCGAAATTGAAGCGCTTCAATTGCGTTCTTATGGAATCGACCTCATACAGCGCGGCGGTCCCGCAACGACCGCTAGTCGAGCAAGCGCTCTGCACAGCGAATGTTGGGCGATCCGCCTCTTTATGGGTGATCCGCCCCCTCCAAGAGGACTTCGACCCCTTCCAGCGCATTTTAGAGGTAGGTTTTGAAATTAAAGACATTTCCTATAAACTTTAGTTGGGCTGGGGCATGTTTTGACCGCCTAATGACCAAGTAGTTGAAACCCTGCCTGGACTGTTGCTTTAAAGAAACTTCTCTGCCCCAGTGGGTTCTTACTAAAATAAAATCGAGTCCCTCTTGTTTCCCGGGGGAATTGTAGATTTGCGATTTCCGGAAAGCTTCCAGTTCCGCATTGGGATGTGATATGTTAGAACGTTTAGCAGCGAATTATTGTGTGCTTTGTGTGTGCTTCGTACCATGAATTCCCAACCTCTGAACGCATATTGATCAGCTGAGACTAATGTAGACTAGTCTACCCGCAAAGGTTTCACAGTCCATCTCTCAAAGTCTGATAGGCGGGTCTCCGTTAGCAATAGACGTACCACGCGTTTTCTATCAGCATTATAGTGGCTGGTGGCCGCTCCACGTCAAATTCCATAGAAACGCTTCTATCTTCGAGTACTAGACAGCCACTAAGGTTAAAGCATTTGCCGTTGATCAATCCCTTTTGGGATGCGGCACGCATTCTACTTCCATTTGTACATTCGTAGTGGCGTTTGAATGCGATGTGGCCTATACAATGACTTGCGGGGGCCAGCCGATGTACAAGTCAGTGTTGTTTTTATCCTCCCAGACAAGTCTGGTACCAATTAACCGACCCCGGAGGGATGGAAGGCTTGGTTAGCCCGGGCAACTCACGACCCAGGATCGATCACTGGACGCCGCGCAGTGTATGACTTGCCTTGCCATGGCACCACTGCCGCCCTGCACATTTTTCTACATACTTATCGGATTGGAAATATCTCCAAATCCTCATGATTCCTTCTCTGTATCAGCCAACTATCAGCCAGCAACACTACGCTAAAATGAACTAACTTTGGTTGACATCCGGTACACACTCAGCATCGTCGCATTCGAATCCACGTGGACATCTGTTTAGGATACAAGGGCCGACGGCTTTCGGAGACCCTTAAATGTCTTCCATTGGCAAGGCTCATCAAGAAATTTTTTCTGTCCCCAGTAAATAACGATGATTAGATTGCTCCGATTTCCGAAATTTTCGGTAAGTAGGGATTCCACTAATAAGAACGAAGGTGGAAAGAAAGAGAAATTTACCTGGTGGAGAAACATCCGGACCCCAAAAGGGTGTGGGCGGACACGCAATTTGCATCGAAGGATATGCCCCCAGCGATCTAGCATGGCCTTCCCTTTGGCGCTATTGGCCCGGAACGCCCACCGACTATCTAATCACTCGCCGCAGGTCTACGGCGAGTGATTAGATAGCAGAGAGAGCGTAGTGTTGAAGAGGGCACAGCGATGAGAGTCGCATCAATGCGCAAATCAACGGGCAAGGAAGGGGTCCCATTTCTCGGGTTCTGGGCCGTTTCTCATGGTTTCTCCTTCGTCATTTTACCATCTACCTTTATTTTGAACTGCCTTTTCATCGTAAATCGGATGTATTGCTTCTCATTTACGTCGCTGGACAACGCAGCTAGTAAAAGCAATGGGCAGAGCATAAGCAAGTTGCAATTTAAATTATCGAAATTATCGGTAAATCACGAATATCGGTTATTGATAATCAGTGAGTAAAGGTTTCGAGGTGGCATTGGATGTCTAATTGGGAACAAAATGGTCGGCTTCAATTTGAATCCAGCTTAAATTGCTTAGCACCTTTTGAATGCGGGTTGGCCAGAAATGTCGCTTGCTGGAAGGGATTTGCACAAGTTAGTTCCCTGCACTCGTCCGATGGGTTTGATAAGGCAATAAATGAGAGGATTTATTGATTTGAGCAAGAGTTTTATGCCGGAAAAGTTGGAGTTTATTTGAAGATAAGCAGAAGCATGAGTGGGGCTCTTTACAGCTGCGACTCACCACCGTACTTGATGTCACTTGCTGTTGATAAACAGAAAGCGATAGCGAAAACCGCAAGGTGGATGACGGGTAGCATGGCTGAGGCGACAGGAGGTCGAATGATCGCCGTTTCGAACGCCCACCCTCAAATGAAAGCGTGGCTGACCACTTTGGCTTTGGTCACAAGTGTAAACAAAGCACTCGATTCGGCGTTATTCGCAAGAAAACATCAACACCACAAAAAGGCGAAAGCGATCAAACAATCGACTGGTTTACACGATCCGATTCGAACGCAAATGTCACAGAGCCAATAGACCGGCCGGCATTTCGATATTCGCGGTATGAAGCCTGAAGGTGATTGCCGATCAGACACAGAGTGAAGGTAAGTAGACACATTACGCTCTTATTTTTGCACCGGCCCATACAATTACATGCGAAGCTACGTCCTTTACAGTAAAAGAGCACAAGTCAGGATTCAGGGCGGACCAACCAAACACCTCATTCCTGCGTGTGGTTTACGTTCCCAAAGACCGTTAGCCACTCTGCACAAACTCCCAAATGGCGCGGTAATAAAGGCGGGCACGTCCGAAAACTGCGTTGACGTGCTCTTTCCTCCAAGCCAGCCTCTTCACAGTCTAAAAGGCAATGGGGTTTCGCTTGCCAGCTTGTTTGTGTCTTTTTCGTTTTTTCTCCCACTTGTCGTCCGTTTCGCATCTCCACACTCAGTATCACAGCGCCATAAAATCTCCGTTACGAGCCCGACTGTTGCTCAAATCTGTGCCAAGCCACTGTAATGTCAGTGCCTGTACGGCAAATGAGGACACTGCTTTCTAATCTTGACAGCTTCAGGAAATGATCACGCCCTCCTCTGAGCGTGAAATGTGGCTCTACCTAGCGTAATCAGCCGAATATGACGTTAGATAGGATAAGGTTGGACGAGCTTAAACCCCATGGAAGGCATCTGAGTACCATCCATCCATGGATGATTAAAAAGTGATTCTTGATGAGGTGACGAGATGAACAGTATGAGAACCATACACATGCCAAAGCTGCAGCGTGCGAATAGCGTCTATGCTGGCTTCGGTATTGCGAGGGAATCGTCAGAAACGTCTTAAATTCTCCTTTCTCCAAATGAACGCACGACCTCACATTGCAATGCCAACTCAACACGTTCTTGAGGGAGATAGCCAGGGCCACGATACCTCATCCACCATAAAGCAATGGCATCGCTCTATCGGACTTTCGCCACCCCTGCGCCTTGAATCAACATCTGCCACAGAAGAAAGTTAAAGTTTGCGACCACCCCAAAAACGACACTCTCCAAAGTCTGCAACTGCCAGCTCATTATTTGCCACATTGCTGGGCTGGAAGCTTCCAAACATTCTGGGGCTAAGCAAGCCAAATCCTAGCAAATGCACGCATATCAGTGACCATGATGGTGGTTATGCTATTGATCAGTTGTTTCCTAGAAGAGATAAAACTTGAATAAACAAAAGTGTCGAAATTGAGACAGGAATTATGAGACAACCCAATATGATTCAGTTGAGCAGAAGTTAAAGTATCATAAAATTTTCGTTTCGCTTCATTACTTGTTTTGCGTTTTGTTTTCACAATGTAAATAAAAAAGGGGTGCTAACTTTGTTGGGGGGACCATGCGGCGGTGCGACGCTCGTCTGCTCCTTGAAGGCTTGGTCCAAGAGGCAGTTACTATTTATTTTTGGCATTCGAAATAGGCGCCATCGTGTGACTAAGTCTTGGAGGAGCAGAAAGAGAGCGCCGCGCTGCCGCGTGGTCCCCCCCCCCAACTAAGTTAGCACCAAAAAGGGGCATCAGAAGTAAGCACAACCGTAGAGCAACATGTTTCGATTGACGCCACATCGCTACACTCCCTTCTCTTCTTTAATTCGAATCTTTCAAATTTAGTTCAAAAGTTCTCTTCAATACATCATGCATTCATAAAGTCTTTGAGTGCGGTCATATACTTTGACGTCGCGACGACATACACATCTTAAAGGCAGCGATTACGATAAAGAGGAAGCGCATCGGGGAAGCATATGCACCACACGAAGCAGTTACTTGGCTGCCAAGGAAGCGAGTGTGGCGCTTTCACGACGAAAGGTGCGCTGGTTGCTGAGCAGGACTTCGAAAGCACTCCGCCCCCAAAAGCGATCCGCCCACTAGTTTAGTTGGTGATTTGGACGAGCTGGCAGCGGCACAACTGGAGCAACTCGATTGGAGCGTGGTTTGGCATGTGCCACCGGTGAACTCGTTCATACGTCCGCTTTCTGAGCTGTTACCTGTTCATGAGTGAAAACCAACGGCCAAAAAGGGGGTCCCGTTTTGCGTTTTCTTGACGGATTTCTCGCTTTTTTCGCCACTGGCGTACCATTGAGCACCATCACGTCTCCTTTGAACCCTTCTGAATCTATCGTAATCGCTGCCTTTAAAGGACGAATTCACGATCAGAGGGAAAATCGAATTAGGAAGAATTCACCTGGTTGAGGGACCCGCGGAGCTCCTAAGTGTGCGAACTGAAGCACAATTTGCACAGGAGGAGTTGACCTCGTTGACCTATTAAGGTTTAATCCCGCCGCGGCTGGTCAGTGCACGCCCACCGATCATCTGATCACTCGCCGCAGGTCTATACGTGGCGAGTGATTAGATAGGTGAGAGAGCGTAGTGTTGAAGAGGGCACAGCGATGAGAGTCGCATCAATGCATTTCTCAGGTTCTGGGCCGTTTCTCATGGTTTTTCCTTCTTTAGTGTACCACTCACCATCGCTAACTTAATTTGAAATGGGGGTTGCCTTTTGCCTTAAAGAGTAGGAGTACGGTGGCTCGCGTCTGAATGTTTGTGAGCAAGCGGCATATACTTCCGCTGGAATTTCTTTTGTAGGAGTTGCTGATAGCATCTATTTCATCTGAGACAGTGACCATTTGTTTTTGTCGCTGTCGATTAAATGATGCAAAATCTTTTCTCACCAGAATCAATGAACATACATATAGGGCTATAGCAGCTTCTGGTAAGGAGTATTACGGTTATTTCTAGGGCTTGCGTCGATTCAGCGCAAAATGGCACAGCATAGAGCCACTACAAAAAACAAATATCGCTGTCGCGAGTATCAACAGTTGCTGACTCACGTAAAGTTTAAGCAACATGCTTCTTCCTGGCCAGCTTGTTACATTTTCGAAGGAGTGAAATCGTTTTCTCTCGAACAATATTCAGGAAGGTAACGTCCGCAAAGGAGTCGATGCACGCTTCTCCGTATTTTTAAACGAATTTAAATTTCATAAATTCTTCCAGAGCACTACTGCTTGCAAGCGCATCACACAATGCCCGTCAACCACCGATAGGTGCGATTCTCGCAAATGGGTTCAAGTGACCAGAATTACTGGAGGACGGTGGCGTTTCGATGGCCTCTTTGGAAACCACACTAATGGTCTAGATCCCTCTCCGCGCTATGTATTGTGAGAAACCGTTTCTCAAAGGCAGAATTTACCATGAAAAGGTAGTAACCAATTAGAAACAATTTCAGAGGTGGTCAGTAGAGCATAGATGAAGTCCAGTCAATCAACGGCGCTAACCCTGTTTAGCCGCGTTCAGCGACGAGCATTGAATGCCATAGCAATTGCCTATCTCTAATTCTTCCTACAAAGGTGAATCCACTGCGAAAACACCTCCAAGCAAGTCGAGGTGCCTCGCCCAAGGAACAGCCAGCTCACCCGCAAAGCCCGACTCCATTTTTTGAGAATGATCGCCACGTTTTGAACGCCGGCGTAGGTGCCTGGTTTTCGAAGCGCGAGCTTCATTGTGAGAGAGGCACGGCGCGGGTAGTCCCGTAGTGCTGAGCTCGAATTACGGCCGGAATCGGTCGGAAACGCTCAGATTCACGCTTCCTAACGAACTGTACCTGCCAATCCATCATGGCAATGTAACTCACCGACGTGTTGGAGATGCTGCGTCCGGGCCCACGGATATTCCTCATCCACCATATAGCATTGGCAGTCGGCTCTAGGTTTGGACTATCGCTCCCTTGCGCCGCTATAAACATCTGCTAGAGAAAGAGAAAGGGGTAAGTAGTTGACTACCGGGGGGCCAAAAACGACTTCTCCAAATTCTTCAACCCCCTGTTTCCTTCATTCTGGGCTGGAAGCTTCCAAACGCCCACTAGTAAATGCACGCATATCAGTGACCATGATGGTGGTTATGCTCATTGATCAGTTGTTTCCTAGAAGAGATAAAACTTGATAAACAAAAGTGTCGAAATTGCGACAGGAATTATGAGACAACCCAATATTTATTTAGATTTGTTGCAGTTCCCTATGCATTTTTGGGAAAATTAAGCCAGCTAATACAGAGTAATTTCAACTACTTCTCTGAGCTACGGTGGGGGAAACTTTCCCGAGATGTCGAAAGAGCTTCTACGAATCATTAAAGACTCTAAAAAAAAGTCCGATAGTTTGCAATTTTTGAAAGTTTTCTGTCACATGTGGACCGTTATGAAGGATATGCCAGGACGGACCAAGCTGTGCTGAGAACTTGCCGTAATCTTAGAGGGGTAAGGTAGCATGAGGCGCGTAAGTTGATCATCACGTGCAGCGCAACAATTATAAGATGTTGGCACATAGTGATATTCTTATGGATGGAAGGGTGACCCGGAATGTACCCAACATTGTGATTGACTCTGAGCCAACGTCGAGCGATCACCTACCATTTGAGTAATCGCAGTTTCAAGGTAGCCGCCAACCAACGAAGTAGAAAGGCAGATTTCTACAAGATGGTAATAGTATTTTGGATAAGAAGCCTTAGTAGTTCAAGTCCTATAGGCGTCCAGTTGACAGTCATAAATTTTTAACAAAACAATGAAGTATTGGATGTTCTCCAGCATATTTTGGTGTCCTGCATGAATCGAACCGAAATCGAAGCCCCTACCAGGGTTGGTAGTGGCAGACAAGCTATGCAGTTGATGGCTGAGAGAAGACACACCATAATGAATTTCTGGTTCTCGCCACCTTCTATGGAGAGCGCGATTAGTTCTACGTTCCTCCTATAGTGTTTCCTACGCTCCTTGTCTGGAACGATTTCAAGGATCACGTC